CAGATCCTGGCAGCTAAGGAATCGAACGCTGTCGAGCCGACGCGTCCGTGCGATGGAACACCGTCGGTCTCTCTGCCGTGTATGTGTAATGTGTTACAAGCCGTAGTAACATTGATAGCGCAAAAAGCCGGCGAGCGAGAGAGAGAGAGAGAAACCGGTTATGTGGTCCTCCCCCTCACTCTCTTCTTCTACTCAGCGAGCTGTTGTTGCTGCTGCTACTGCTGCTGCTGCTACGCTGGGTCGTTGCCCTCTCGCGTGATCTGTATGTATGTGAACGTACCAAATGACTTAGCTTCGCTTCGACAGGAGTGTCATGATATAGACCATCATCCTGGTATTGTTAGGAGTGTCATGATATAGATTATGTCATTTATACTATGACAGTCTCCTGGTATTGTCAGGAGTGTCATGATATATATCAATGTCATCTATACTATGACAGTCTCTGGTATGTTCGCAGGAGGTCATGATATCGATGCATAGTCATGTAATACTAGGAGCAGTCTCCTGTAAGTTAGGAGTTGTCCATGATGATAGACTCATGTCATCTATACTAGACAGTCTCTCTGGTATTGTTAGGATTCGAGTGTCATGATATAGATCATGTCAGTCTATACTATGAGCAGTCCTCCTGTATTGTTCCGAAGTGTCATGATATTAAGATTATGTCACTATGAGCTATTGACAGCTCGCTGGTATTGTTAGGAAGTGTCCATGGATATATAATCATGTCATCTATACTATGACAGTCTCCTGGTATTGTTAGGATCGAAGTGTCATGATGATGATGCATGTCATCTATACTATGACAAGTCTCCTGGTATTGTTTTAGGGAGTGCATGATATAGATCATGTCATGCTATACTATGAGCAGTCTCGGCTGGTATTGTTAGGAGTGTCATGATATAGATCATGTCATCTATACTATGACAGTCTCCTGGTATTGTTAGGATCGAGTGTCATGATATAGATCATGTCATCTATACTATGACAGTCTCCTGGTATTGTTAGGAGTGTCATGATATAGATCATGTCATCTATACTATGACAGTCTCCTGGTATTGTTAGGATAAAAGTTCAAAGTAATTAACATTGCAGGGTCAACATATAGGAGATATAGGGCCGGCAAACCGACTATATGTTTACATTTATATTTGAGTAAAGTTGGCCGTCTCGGTACCTACGAAACACCGTATACTGGTATGTTGATGTTTGGTGTGTGTTGCTACTGGTTCTGTTCTATTTTTGGTATTGTGAGTAATCGTACATGATCGTACTGAGCCAGCTCAGACGTGATATTTACGGCATATCAGGTGTGACAATCAGTAAGGTAATATATTATATGTTAACTTGTATCAATATACACTATTTTCATTATCACCTACCAAGCCTATCAGGCACCATGTCGTCATGCACCTAGTTAACATATGTAGTCATCGAGTAAAAAATGATCATTTACATTGATCGCAGGAAGGTGGGGTTTAAGAATGTGTGAATAATATTTTGCTGGGCTACTAACGGCTGTTTCTGGTTGTAGTAAATACATGATTATCGACTCAGAAACCCAACCCGAGCTCTGACTGCAAACAGACCTTTGCTCACACCCTGCCTATTTTCAGCGTTACACACACACACGCGCGCGCACAAACACACACACACACACACAAACACACACACACACGCACGCACACACACACGCACACACACATACACGCACACGCACACACACACTCTCTCTCTCTCTCTCACACACATACACACACACATACATATACACGCACGCACGCACGCACGCACGCACGCACGCACGCACGCACGCACACGCTTTACCAGCCAAACAGAGCCTGTGAATTGACAACTTGATACAGCGAAGATCGAAGTAAAAATAATTATAACCGACGGACGACCTCGCCCGCTATACATAAAAGCTTCGATAGTGCGAGTTCACAAGCTCACACCTCCTCCAGCTACGATGGCAGCAACGCATCATCATCCACGCCTTACTAACGCTTAGCATCGTCATCATCGTCATCGTCCCCGCCGGTGACGCATGTCCGCCTCCCGCCACCACCACCCCGTGCGTCTGCCAGCGTTCCCGGAAGGGCATCTTACTGCACGAGCGTGAACGCCACGGTGAGGCGGAAGATCACGAACATAGGTGTACCCATCCACTTCCTACTCGTGACAAACGTGCGTGCCTATGCGCGCGTGTGTGTGCGTGTGTGTGTGTGTGTGTGTGTGTGTGTGTGTGTGTGTGTGTGTGT